CTTCAGGCACAATGCTTGGGAAGAACAGACTGCATGTTAGGTAGGTCGAAAATTGGCTGGATTGCCAAGCTTGAAGGCTCAGCATCTAGTTGGTGGCAGGCAGTGAGTGGAGGGAGAGGAGGCTGGGCTTGTTTGGTCTGGGGAAGAGAAGGCTATGGGGCACTCTGGTAGCAGGCCGGCAATTGTCCGAAGAGCAGTTGCAAGGGTGACCGAGTTAAACTCGTCCTGTTAGGGTCACGGAGCGTACAAACAAAACAAACCCTGAAAAACCCACGGCTAGAAATTGCATCTCGAAAGGTTCAGATTGGACGTTAGGAAAAACGTCTTACCTGGGGAGACAGTACAGCGCTGGAACAGGTTATCCCAAGGCACGGCAGAGTTTCCAGCCGTGAGGGGGTTTGAGCACTGGCTAAGAAAATTCCAACCCTCAAATGGGTGGCATGCTGTGGTGTGAGCAGAAATCATAACCCAAGGAGGAGCTAGGACTGGAGGTCTCCAGAGGTCCCTTCAAAGCAGCATTTGTATGATTTTGAGTGACTTTGCCCTGAATTCCATTTTATATATGAGCAATATTGAACAGAGCTATTTGTCTTCAATTTTCTGCCAATAACAGACAGTTTTCCAGCTTTTCCTTTGTACCTGGCAAAAGAGTTAACTTTCATTTTGACTGTTACATTCAGTTAATAGCTAAGAAGTGCCTGGAGGCAACTGGAGACGGAGGACAGAAAGAGGTACCCCTGTACCTGCCTTGAGTTACTACTTTTGAAAGTAGGGTTAGCCCTTGAAAGTCTGGTGAAAGAGGAAGAAATGGCATGTTATGTTACTCTCTCAGAGAATTTCTTCTGCAAAGTCTCTGTACATATGTGGAGTGTTGTAAAAATTATATGAGGATGTTGTCAGGAAATCCTTTCCATTACTTTAATTAAAAAAACCTGCTTCCCTCTGAAGTTCTGGGGTAATGAACAACTAGTTACTGTCATCTTCTGTTTCTGAGTTTAGAGCAGAAGACTCACACATACTGCAACATTACTGTAGATCTGAAAAAGAGCTAGTATTAATTTACTTACTAGTAAATTTACTTTGACAGTATTACTTTACAATATTTAGAGTTGAAACTTTTCTTAGGTTTGAATTTGGATTATTTTTTTTGTTTTGTTTTGTGTTTTGTTTTATTTATTTATTTATTTATTTTTATTTTTGTTTGGGTTGGTTTTTTTTTTTTTTTGAGCAGTGATAGCCACACATGAGCTAATGCTGTTTTTGGAGGCCTAAAAGTTCATTTTCGTAATTAAGGGCTGTTGAATGAAACTAACCACATAATATACTAACAGCAGTGCACGGCTAGCGGTACTCTCATCTTGTCCTGTTGTGAAATTAGTGTAGGCTTAGCAAAAAGTTTTAAAAATTTTACCAGTACTGTGTGACCACTTAAGTGAATCAGCCTTTTAAGTGAATCAGCGCTGAGGCCGTTACTCCACCCGTTGGTGCTCTTCTCTTCTTCTGCAGTTCCTCACGTGTCTCCTGAACCATATGCAATTTGTCTGAGTTTTACCCATGACCCTTGCTAAAATGTAGTGATTATGATATACTAAGAAAGAGGTATTTGCTATATTTAAAAAGTGTCAGCGCTGATCTTTGTGAAATGTGTTGTGCCCATGGGGGAAGAGACCTACTTTGAAGTAGGCAGGAATGAGCTTGTCTAGTCAGTGGGTTTAATTTCAGTTTACAGTGGCATCTGCTGATCTGTTTGGTGATACCGTGGTTTTTCATCTGCGTTACCACGTCGGTGGAAGGGTTAGGCACTGCCGCACTTTCAGAATGCCTGGAATCTTCTAATTTTCCGGGGTAGACTTTCTACCTTGATAGATATATAAATCTGGTGATAGCATCTTGTACCACATCAAAGACAACTGCGGCGACTCATTCTTCAACTTCAGGCTGTGATAAGTGTGTGCTGTCCTTTCTTAATAAGTGTAACCATGTCATATCCCTGGGTCAGCTTAAGTATTTTTCCCATCTAGTGCGCCCTGTTTCCAGGACTTTCTCCTGAAGGGGATCTCAGTTGCCCATCTTCTGATGAAGCTTTTTACTGAAGATGCAAATACAATTGTTTTGGTCCTTGTCCTGATTTCCCTTGTGTGGTATTGTTGCCCCCTGGTGAGGTGGTGCCTTGCCTACCTCAGTCCTTGCCTAAACTTCAGGGTTGTTCAGTGTTGTCTATACAGTAATATTTCTTTTCTTTTTTCTTCTTTTTTTTTGAGGGAAAGAGTGGAGAGGATGGTGGTTAATAGAAAGGCAGACAGATCGTGGCAGCAACGTATATAGCAATATATATAGCTCTGGAGTTCTACAGCTGACAGCTGTAAATCTGACTGAACTTGTTACTCCCTTTTAAGTGTAACTTGGATTGATTTATCCCTAAAATAAAACCAGGAATTGCAAAGTCATTTCACAAAGAACAGACTACAGTCTCATCTTAGTCACGTTCAGGTAGCTGTGTTCTTCACACAGTTTGCTCAAAAGAAATTTTCAGAACATGCATGAACTCAGTAGGAAGAAGCTAGCTTTTTGAGATACAATGGTACAATTTATGTAGAATGGATAAAAAAGAATATTGTGGCTTATCTGAAGACAAATAACAAGCTTCATTCTCCAGTGACAGCAATTACTTGCCTTTGTAGTCATAAAAAATAATTCTTTTGTAAGAGAAGAAATTCCACTGTGTAAGAGCAAATATTTGAAATGGAGCAAGTGAGATGTGTGTGGGAATTTGGTATGTTCATGAACACTATTGTGTGCTAAAATAAATAGATATTTTTCCTTTACAAATGGAGGAGCTGAAGGTACTGGAAATGCTGCAACTTCTGTTCACTAAATTGCCGCATGCTTTTTCTTTCCTTTGTCCCTTTTTATTGACTTCTCATTTGATATGTCTGGACTATTTACAGTCTTCACTTGCAGTGCTGCTGTTATCATTGTCCAGATGATACAAATGAAAACACTTTGTTAATACTTTGTGAAATATAACATGGTTTGTAATTCTGGGCGTACATTTAAAGACAAAATAAACATTGAGTATAGTGTCGTCAGACACCACACTTTGACATGTTTGTCTGAATTGGTGGTCCTTCGCATGCTTTGGAAATAGCACTCTGGTGTACTAATCTCTGGGAAAGTAGTTCTTATTATTGTTGGCTCCTGTGTTTAGTGTGCAGCTCTCAGCTGACATACTGTACATGACAGAAAAATGCTTGTGACTCAGCTAACAAAAACCCAGTGAAGAGTCTAAATTAGGAATCCGGTTTTTGTGCTTTTTTTATTTTCTTATTACCACACGCTCTCCTCTCTTATTTGTACACAAGACAGCCCTCTGCAACTGTGTGTGGATACTGGCAAGACAAAACTCCAGCAGATTTATACAAGCAGCTATTCCCCTTAAAAGAAAATTTACCATTTTCATACCACAAGTAGAAGGCTTATCACACTTTAAATTCTATTTAAGTATAGAATAATTATTTTAAATTAGCAATGCTGTTTCTATGGCCTCCTTTTCTTGCACTACATTAATTTAGCTGTCAGCCTTTACATGTAGTTATAAAATACAATTACAGTGTATATTTTCATTGTAGGCTGAAGCGTGTATGTCTTACATAGCTTCAAGTGAATGCTCATCGTAATTCTGGTTATAAAACAATTAGAAAAAAAAAAGTATTTAACTGAAAGAAACAATGACTATCTGAAAACAAAGTAATATTAATAACTCTCCAGTACAAAGCTACAAGCTTTATTTTGTTATTAAATTTATTAATAGGTATCTGAGAATTCCTGTGATTCACTGACTGAAATGTCAAACCTCACTGTATACAGCTTTTTAGAAAAATCCAAATATACTAAAAGTCATGTGCTATAGCATAAGGAGGGTTTTTTTTTTAATTCGATGTGCTTCTGGAATTAGCTTTTGTAGTTTAGATATCTCATCATTGTATGTCACAGTGTTAAAATATATCCAGATTAGGTCAGTTCCTGTTTTTTGCAGCTCAATAGCCAAAATGAGCTGAGTCCAGCTGCTGAATGTGAATTCCTGTGAATATCGGGCACTTGAGAATGAGGTTTCTTGAGTTACTGTGAAGAGAGTTGTTGGGGCTCTGAAAGGCATGGCTGCTGCTCACCAAAGGAGTCCTTTTCTTTTGGTTACTCCTCAGTAATGAATTCATAAGCCGAAGAGGTCTTTCCAGTAGTTTTCGGTGTTACTCTGTGCTTTCAAAATCAAATATTTCATTTGAATTAATTTACTGCCACCTTGCAAGACAGGGATTTAAATTTACATGTGTTCGATCTAACAATACTGTGAAGAATTTTGAGGAATGCCCTCTATTGAGGCTCATTGGTAAACGCCTGATTTCTTAAACTTGGTGACTTTCCCAGGTTTCCCAAGCATGTCCCAGTTTCATTCTTGTATGGGGCTAACTTTGTTCTGATACAGACATCAGGAAGGAGACAGCCATCAAAATCCTTAGCAGTGGTCTCAATAAATGTAGAACCGTCTCCATTAACAAGAGACAAATGTAACCCATCCCTTTCGTGGGAGGTGTGAGCAGAGCTCTCCCTGTACCCTCGTGTGATCTCTCTGCAATCTCCAGTAATAAAGAACTGAAACCATCAGCAGGCTGGGCGATGCAGTCCCTTGGGCTGATGGGCTTCTGTGAGGAGTCTGGTCTTGCATTCAGGCATTTGCAGTCACATTTCTCTTAGCTCCACTTGAACTTCTACTCTGCTTTCTGAACAGCAGTTGAGGCCTGGGTTTGAATAGCTTTTTCCCAGCAAAGTAATGCTTACTTTTGGGTGGTTGTTACTGTGTAGATTTTCCAAGAAGAAATTCCTTGCAAGATGAAGAAGAGCAAACAAAACAAAAGTATCTTTATCTGTGCATACTATACAAACACTTTAGGGAAAGGAGAATAAATGAGTATTAATGCATCTGTGTTCTGTCTTTATCACAGGTGTACAGGATCCTCAGCATGAGAAGATAATTACTGTGACTACTAATGGAAGTATTCACAGCCCCAAGTTTCCACACACGTACCCACGTAATACTGTACTAGTGTGGAGATTAGTAGCAGTAGATGAAAATGTATGGATACAGCTTACTTTTGATGAAAGATTTGGGCTTGAGGACCCAGAAGATGACATTTGCAAGTAAGTTGCTTTTCCTTTATCTTACAAAAACTGAAGGGGGGAGGTGTGGGGAATGGAGCAAAAGTGTTGATTGAGCTTTGCAAAGGTGTGACACCTGCATGTCAATATATTGATAAAATGCATCTTTTAGATTATTATTTTCTTTTGCAGTGCTAGAGAAGGATTTCATGCTTGAAAGATTTGGGGTACCCCTATTCTTCCTTCTGCATTCAGTGTCTGGGCCACAGATATATTATGACACAAAAAAGTAAAATATTTAATCTCTCTCTCGAATAAAAGCTTTTACTTCTGAGAAAATATTCTTGACAGAATGGTAGAGGAATTAATGTCTAATTTTTACAGAGAAAATTTGGGTAAGCATGTTACCTGAAGTGCAGTTCAGGTCACTACACAAAGTACATCATCTCTGTTCACAAAAACTCCAACACTCTACTGCGCAATATTTAAATAGCCTTTAATGGTCAAGTTCTCAGTTTTCTGTGAAAAACCACGCTTACAGTATTGCGTTAATTGACATTCTTCAATGGTATTCTCTTTTTCCATCTACAAGAAGCATTCTGCCTGCTCGATCACTGCACAGGTTTCTATAGGACCTGTAGAATCTGTATTTCCTTCCTATGATTCACAGCTGAAGGCTTCAGAGCTTGGGAGAGAGACAGTGTGACAGAACGGGCATCAGAAGGGATGTAGTTCTGAACCAAGCCATCTGATTGATCATATTTTGGATATTTTGTGGGGCAGTAGGGGCTGACATTATATATATGTTTCCTGTGGGTGGATGAAAAGGGGAGAGAACTTAAACTCTTGTAGCCTGTATCTGTCTGCCACCACAGCAACACATCATAAAAAACCTCAATGTGTGAATAGTGATACATTGTCTGAACTCTTTTCAGTAAATTAAGTTACAGATAAAATATGTCATTTGAATGGCATATCCTCCTTTGACGTATTCCTAGAGAGGTACTTCACACCAGATGTTTCTTTCAAAGTAGTTTTCTGTTTTGTTTTGTTTTTCTGTTTGGGGTTTTATTTTTGAGTGCCTTATATACATATTCAATTTGATTCTTGCTTTCAGTTTTTCTAATTAACTGATATTTGGTGTTTGTTATATCTTGTATCAACTTTTGATAACAAATTTTATTTTCTTAGAGGTTACTTTTGCACTTATCCTTAATTTGGGAGCTGATATTCATAACAAGTGGGGAAGGTATCTTTCTTTCATAATTCTGAAGGGAATAATTGTCAAGGCCATGTAAAATATAATTAAAATACTTAGTACTATAAACATATGTTTGCTCAAATGAGTGCACTCCCTTTGTACAATAATTCTTTTCTTTAAATGAAAACTTAGCTTGCTTTTTCTCTTCTTTGCATATGGCAGAGTGAAGTGGCAAGTGAAAGAAAATCCAGGTAGGGTGACTCATTCGTCCACTTGCAAAGAAAAAAGTAAGATAAGTTAAAATATTTTTAATATTACAACTAGAATAGTATTTTAATGGGAGTACATTTATTTTAAGTAAACAATGTGCTGAATACAAAAGTACTGGTCAAATTAAGAAACGGTCACTCATAATCTTCACTCGGTCATAATCTTACTGTGCTCATATTTGTGCAGGGATACCAGGAGGTTGTATGAATGCAATTCCTGATAGGCTCACTATTGAGGGCACATTGGGCTTTTTGGCTTGGAAGATATGACCTGCTGAAAAAGAGAGATATATTGTTGTTTTTAGCCAAAAGAAAAAACAAAACAAAACATAGCTAGAGTTCCTATGAAATTTAAATTCAGTAACAGTCTAAGTAAAGGAAGAGAAAATGTACCTTGTATGATGTGAAGGGAGTATAAATAATTGACTAGTTGAGGAAACAGTTAAACTCTCTGTATTTTATCTGTGTAAAACATTTCTACATAGGCCAAGTGAGTTACCAGTTATCAGAGTAATATCTCTTTATAAGTAATGTCTTCTGTGTTTTACCTCTCATAATTCCCAATAAAATTATTTAATCTTTTTTCCAGTACCTTCTGTAGAAAAGCTAAGGGTTTTCATTTACTGCATCCCATAGTCTTTATTACTCTACCATGTTTCTGCCATCTTGAAAGACACAAATCAGTATTGTTGCTTTAGAGTACTCGACAGTTCTTTCAAAGCCAAGTTTATATGACAAAGGACAGAATAAAATATGATGTGACATTATAACTCTACAGTGACCTGATCCTTTAGTTCTGACCTATGTCTGATACTAGGTAAAAACTGCAGCCCATGATGTTAGACATTCTATACAACAGTGTACAGCTTGTACCAGGACATCTTTCTCTCCTCTTTAGTATATGAGAGGACTCCTGAGTTACCTCCAGTAGTCATTGTCACAGTTTTCAGTTCCTTTACCTGCTGCTTAAGATGCAAGTTCTGTGCAATGCCAGAGCTTTCTCCATCATCGCTGTGGGCTGTCCCTGTAGTCAACTCACTGGGCCCATGAGAGAATTTGCTGGAGTATATTAGTTTAAGTTAATTAGCAGCTTTTAAATCTCACAGTAATTCAAATATTGCTCACACATTGGGAAAAAAAATAAAACAAAAATGCATCCAGCTATATAAGACTTTTTTGCTTAACATAGTTCTGTAACAGAAAATCAGTGGTAGTGGTCCTAGGTGTATCTTGAAGCTATGTCAAGTTTTTGCCTGTATCTGGCTGACCTGACCTCCACACCTGGATTTATCCAAAGTCGGTTCTGAAATTTCAAGCTATTCTGTGAGGTCTTTTCATCTGGAAGGAATATCACATTTTACAGATACATTGAATGTATTAGTCTAGTCTCCACTTCAAATACTTTCCTCAACCTTAATCAGAGTGATCCTGTGTGGCTTTTTTTCCACTCTGTCTTCACTTGCAGTTCAACTCACAATATTTACTAAGGTAGAGCATTTGCATTACAGCAAATTCTATGTTTATGACCAGCCATCCTGACCCAGCCTTACCTGGAATGGCATTAACATGCATAGTCCTAATAGTTGTGCTAATTCTCACCAGTCTTAAGTATGATTGCTGTGTTCTGTATGTTTTAGAAACAAAGTTTAAATTATAGGTTTTTAAGAATAAACTTCTGGTATTTTGCCTGTGTTTCTCTAGGTGATTGTTGTCCTGGTTTTACAATTGTGATGTGTTTGAAATTTATGTAGTTCACCTCTGCATTGCTTAAAATACAGCTAATGATGTTTTTGATTTTTTTTTTTTTAACAATAGTTCTACTTAATCTGCACCGCATCCTTTCTATGGATAAAATGTTAAGAATTCTACTGTGTCCTTTTCAAAGTGAACACAAATGCCAATGTACGTGGAAACTGGATCCATGCATGTATCTCATTAGGTTATTTGATTGATAATACGGATATACAAATCTCTGCAATATTGCAGTAATTTCAGTCTTGTACGCTTTGACTTAATTTGTGACTTGCAAAAGAAAAAGGTTACGAACAAAAAAATCCTGCCAGCAAACCAAACAAAGAAAGAGAAGGATACAGTCTCCTGACTGTTTTGTGCAGTACTGTTCAGATGATATAACTGGCAGTGAATTTTCCTTACATAAGGGAATTTCTAACTAATAGAGGCATAGTGAATTTACATTCTCATGTCCACTCTTTCTGATGAAGAAAAGCAGCAGCTTTTCTTCTGCTGATATGACAGGTCATTATTTTCATGATGTTAGCCCCTCAACTCTGTTTTAAGCATGAGGCCATTAGACTTCTGTGCCTGACAGCTCCTATCATCAGGGAGATGCCATAACTCTTCTTGACCTGGAGGGACTGATTTTTGCTCAGTTGTTGCTTGTTGTCCACATTTGTTGCTTTCTGTCTCTGAGACAATGCAGTGGTAACAGCTTTGTGATAAACTCTGTGCCGGGAAGAACACAGATGTTACAGTTGCCTTTAAAGGGTAGTCTGATGTTGTGAGTAGGTTGTACATTGGAGCATTACAATGCAAGACTACAACAGGAAAAACAAACAAACATACAAACCCCTTTCTTACATTAGTAGCATGTCAGAGTCGCCCTCTCCCTGTGCACAGAATGGCTCTAGTTGTTCATTTTAGTGGTGGTTGCAGCTGTTCTTTCTAATCATCAGATGTTTACAGACTGTTTAACTTTTATTATCTATAATAAAACACAGAAATGTGTCACAAATCCAAAGTGCAATTACTGTAGATAAGATGATAAGGATAAAATACATGAGCAAAAGAACGTGGAACAAACCGATAGTTGAATAATAGATACCATTTGACCATCATCTTCATATTAGGATAGCTACACTCATTTCTGATTCTCTTCAGTCCGCTAATAATTTAAAGTATGAGCTGTGGTCTGTTTTGTGGTTTGGTTGGTTGTTTTTTTCTGGAGTGTGGAGGGTATTTTAGCAGCTGCATCTGTGAATCTGTTCATGTAGTTCTGTAAGTGAAACATTTACCTATAAAGCTTTGAAAGAATTCCCAAAGCTTGTCTAGTTAATATGTGCAATATATAGAATTTTTGCCAGAAGAAAACTGGTTAAGCTCAAGGCAGCTGTCAGTTCTAACACGGGGCATAATCTACATGAGTAGTACTGTGGCTTTTTCCTCTTCACATCAAATTAAATACTTAACTCTTAATACCAGGAATGTTCCTCCACTGAGGGTTCTTAGGATGATGCTTTACGATATAGAGTCTCATGCATTAAATACACTACCTCCCTTTTCCCTAATGTTTCTGTAAGCTCCTTGCCTTCACTTCAGATCTGGCCTGAACCGTGCCCAAGCTATTCCCTTCCATTCAGGAAACATCAGGCATCTGGTAGGAACCATAATCCAACCACCTTCAAGAGTCATACGTGTTCCTAATGAATGTATGGTTAGGAAATTGTTGACAGGGGCTAAAAATTTAGATTTGGCTTACTCTGAATCAAGTATACATGGAAACAAATGTTTTAAGAGGAAAGATACATACACTGGCTTTAGTCAGTGGCTATGAA